TAGATAATCACACTTTCAGACACAGAGGCTCTGACCTCAGCAATCACAGACACTTCTTCACTGCTGGGGTCTATTGGCCCTCAGTTGACATCACAAAGAATCCTTTCAGAGCCCGTTTTATGTCCTTGTTCCTCAGACTGTAGATGAAGGGGTTCAGCATGGGTGTGACCACGGTGTACATCACCGAGGCTGCTGCACCTGAGGGTGAGCTCTGGGTAGCAGCTGAGCTAAGGTACACTCCTAGGCCTGTGCAATAGAATAAGGAGACAATGGAGAGGTGAGATGCACAGGTGGAAAATGCTTTATACTTGCCCTGAACTGATGAAATTCCATGTATGGAAGAAACTATCTTAGAGTAAGAATAAAGGATCCCAGCAAGGGGACCACCACCCAGCAACCCGGATAAAAAGTATATCACTATGTCATTGATAAATGTGTCTGAACAGGCCAGTTGGAGAATCTGACTGAGTTCACAGAAAAAGTGGGGAATTTCCAAGTTATCACAGAAGGGCAGACCCAACACCATTAAGCTTTGTAACAATGAATACAGGACACTCAGAATCCAGGATACGAGGACCAGCAGTCCACAGAGCCGGGTGTTCATGATGACCGTGTAGTGCAGTGGGTGGCAGATGGCCACATACCGGTCATAGGCCATCACAGTCAGGAGGAAGTCATCCATCCCGACAAAAAGTAGGAAAAAGTACATCTGGGTGATGCAGCCTGCATAGGTTATGGCTTTGCTCTGGGTCTGGATGTTCAGCAGCACCTTGGGGATGGTGGTGGAGGTGAAGCAGATGTCCACAAAGGACAGATTGCAGAGGAAAAAGTACATGGGTGTGTGCAGGCGGGAGTCGGAGCTGACAGCCAGGATGATGAGCAAGTTGCCAAACACAGTGATCAGGTACATGGAGAGGAAAAGCCCAAGTAGGAGGGGCTCCAATTCTGGTTCCTCTGAAAATCTGAGGAGAAGAAATCCTGAAATACTTGTATCATTCCGAGGATCCATGTGCTGCAGATGAGTACCAGAAAGTAGAAAAAAGGAATGACAATTTTCACATAATTAAGGGTTAGTAACCTAGAATAAGTGGTAACATTTATTTTATAACCAATAAGTTCATTTCCATATTTAATGTATGGATGGCTCCCCTTTAGCCTCCCTAGTTCCTTCTCTATAGGAATTCCTTTTCCACTGTCATCCTGTTCCTCAACATAATGTGCACTATTGATTTATTGAGGGTATCTTTCTCTAATCTGAGAAATAGATATTGAATATAAACCACATTCCAGGAACTGTCAAGGATACAGTATGCTGGAAAATAAAACTCCCTACAATCTTGTGCTGGAAAAGGAATAATAAAATAAAAATAATCATGTCAC